GAACGAGTGACGCAGCGGCCAGCGACACGTGACACTACTCAACGGTTAGGAGATGTGCCAGAACTCGAGGAGATGGCACGGGCAACGCAAGGCCTCAAGAACTGGAAGGCACCCGGCCACGACTCCCTCCCTGCCGAGTTGCTCAAGATCGATGAAGACGAACCCTTCGTCCTGGGACACCTCCATACCATCCTCGTCAAGGTGTGGAACGGAGGAGATATTCCGCGAGAGTGGAAGGATGCAACCATCAAGGTGCTGTACAAGAAGGGTGACCGGTCCAACTGTAACAACTACAGGGGGATTTCGCTACTATCTCAAGTAGGCAAGGTCCCCATGAAGATCATCACCAACCGTCTAAGCGCCTTCTGCGAAGCCAACAACATCCTCCCGGAGGAACAGTGCGGATTTCGACCCGGGCGATCCACCGTCGACATGCTGTTCGTCTTGCGCCGCCTCCAGGAGCTGGGGCGGAGAAAGAAAATACCGCTCTACATGTGCTTCGTCGACTTGAACAAGGCGTATGATTCGGTGGACCGAGAGATGCTATGGAAGGTGGTGGCCAGGGCCAGGATTCCCGCGAAGCTGATCGAAGTCGTCCGCCAATTCCACGATGGAATGCGGGCACGGGTGCGCATGGACGACGGAGAACTATCGGACTGATTCTTCGTGACATAGGGCGTGCGACAAGGATGTGTGCTATCCCCACTGCTGTTCAGCATCTTCTTTGCCGATGTCCTCGAGGTCGTTGTCATCCGATTCAGCGAGGATGATGTTGTTCTGCGGAGCCTGGTGTGCTTGGAGGAGGGGAAGACGGAAGCGGGGGGGGAGGAGGAGACACCCCTTGACCGAGTACGGAGGGCAGTATGGGGAATACTGTATGCCGATCATGCCGGCGTCGTATCGAGGTCTGCAGAAGGACAGGCGAGAATGATGCAATCATCGTTGAGGTGTTCGGGGAGTTCGGGCTAACGGTGTCGGAGAAGAAGACGGAGACGCTCCTGATGCGCGCAAAGGGCAAGCAGACTACAACATCACAGCCCGCCCTGCCTCCACCGCTGACCGTCGAAGCCGCGGGACAGAAATACGCCCAGACGACCGAGTTCCGGTACCTCGGTGGCCTCGTCAACGAACATGGCGACCTCACCCGGGAGATCAACTACAGGAGCAGAGGAGCGTGGGCGTGCCTCAGGCGATATGGCCGGGAGCTCTTCGACAGACCGCAAGCGCCATTCCAACTCAAGATCCGCCTGCTCCAGGCGGAGGCGATGGAGGCACTGCTGTACGGCTGCATGACATGGTCACCACTCAGCGGCCACTATCAGACGCTGCGGTCGATACACCACCGACTGCTCCTTCGAGTTATCGGGTACAAGCGCAAGAAAGACACCTACCGGCAGCTCTCTTACGCCCAGACGCTGAAGAGGGTCGAATGCCAGAGCGTTGAAGCCACGATCCGACAACGACGCCTACTGTTCGCGGGAGCATTGGCAAGGCAGCCGGACGAGCGACTCCCGAAACGGCTGATGTTCGGCGAACTGGCAGGGGAGGAGAAGCGACGTAGGGGGGGACAGGAACAGAACTGGCCGAAGTGTGTGCTCGACGACCCGAAGGCATTCGGGGCCGACCACGGATCTACGAAACCCATCCATGTTGTCTTTGAATCCCGGTACCGAAAGACACGGCACCGACGTTAAAGTGGACGGAAGCCGCGAAGGTAGAGGGGGGAGTACCCTGGCATGCGGCGGTGCTGCAGGGAGCTGAGAGGTTCATGACGTCCTGGCACGAGAAGGAAGAAGAGGCCAGCCGACAACGGGCGCTCAGACGAAACCACAAGCCACGAACCAATGGGGCGGGAGGGGGGCAGGAGACGGACGAGACGGCGAGGGAAGGAAGCAAACGAGAAGAAATGGACCGAGTGGCGCGATACGTGCCGGATTGAATTTCTTTTAGCCGATTCCCACCCCCCCAACGCTGCACCATTGCACCAACCCCCCACTAGTGATGACGTTCCATTACAATGCATCGCTGATTGGCGGCCATGTTTGCGTGTTTGCTTGTCGTTAGTAGTCTCTCCACCGTGTGCCTTTTTCTGTCCCTTGTTTCTTGTTTCTTTCGGCCTGGTCCCTTTTTGTCCTCGCTCTTTTTCATTTCATTTTATCTTTCCTTACTGTTTCCTTTTGTTTTCTTCTCTTCTTCTCTTTTTCTCTCTTTTTCTCTCTTTTTCTGTGCCAGATGGCCTTGTTTCTGCTTGCGTTGTGAAGTACCAAGATTGAACCAAGGGGGTGTACCTCATTCTCTCCGGCCCGTGATGGTGACTCCTGGTCTCAGTTGTTTCCTCGCATAGCGCGCAGAGGTAGTGGAGGACTCCAGAATATCTGTTGTTGATTTCTGTTGACTTGCGGACCGCTCGGGGCCCTTTTATTTGAGTGTACCTTTTAAGGGTAAGTTAGCCTGCGACCACGGGAATCGATCGCGTCGAGTGTTGGATCAGTACGGATATACGAAGGTACTGGTAGAGAGAGATCGGAACGGTTCTGAAGACAACAACACCAACGACACCCACAAAGCTGAACCCAGATTTTGTCGACCCAAAAACTCAAGAGTCTGACTGTGTAGAAGCCGGAGGTCAGCCCATCCTGAACAAGGAAGCTTCTTGGGACAGGAATCTAGGTGTACAAGAATCAGCCCAAGAAGCCGGATTTTTGCCCATCCTGATAAGTGAAGCTTTTTTGGGAAAGGAAATCAGGTGTATGAGCCCAATCTATCTTAGACTCGTTTCATTCATAGTCTATGTAGAGATGGATTCGTTGGGTCATAGTCTAATCAGAAAATATAAAAAAACAACGTTCGGACGGTATCCATCCACGCAAGATAAAGCGTGTTTCAAGGAGTAGACTAGTAAGTTCATGAAATCATCACGTCACCTTTCTGTACGAGTTCAAAGTTCTTTCTGGTTTGGTTTTTGTATTCCGTACCTTGACGCCCGATGCTTGAAAATGCAGAAGAGTATCACGGCGACGCAGGGGCAAGGATCAAGAGGAACATACGCCAACAATGACGAATGCGCTCACGAATGAGGGCGGTTGGTTACGGTCTTCAAAAATGGTACACAGCAGTTCACCCAGTACGGCTACAACAACCCGTCGTAATTCATGGTATTCGTTTCAAACAAACGGTTTGGCACATACCACTGGCACGTTTGCATCCAATGAACCAATGAATAGAGCGGGGGGTCCACATTTGCATCGAATGAACAGAGCGGGGGGTCGTGACGAAAGTCACCACACAGAACATGGTGTAGGGAGAACGACGCCATCAACCGGGAAAGATAATGCGGGTGCTCCCTAGTCGCTGAAGTACATGGAACCCCAGATCAGGAAAGAGGAACGGAATGGTGGCCTTTTTCACCAAGTTCACCAGTTCACCGTAGATGCGTCTGTCATGGTGCTGCTTTTTTTCCCACGAAGCACTCGGATTGAATCGGTCAGGGCGAAAAATCGGATTGACATGGTTAGAGGGCGAAAATATCGAACACACTTCACACGGCTTCGTGTTTTGCCCCCTCTTAACGGCGAAGCTCGCGCGCGGCCAGAGGATCGTCCGTCTCACAACCGAACGAAGGGGTAGATCGCGACGCAGCGGAAAAGAGAGGGTATGCATACGAATGTACTTCAAGCAACCATCGAATTCTCGGCGGTACTATCGAGACATGACACCTGGCGCATCAAAACAAGCAGCTTCAAAAACGCCCTTCTGAAAAGACAAGGCTACCGAACCAGGGACGGACTATTTAGCAGTGCCTGTGTTCACCTGACTGGATCGGACGCCGGACTACTGTAGAGACGGCGCAAAACAATCGACCGTTCAAGTAAGAAAATCTCCGAAGCATGTCTCCCAAAGCGGAAACGATTCCGCAAGAAATTTCTCCGCCACCTTCGCATGATGATCTGTAACTCCCGCATCTTACCCTCAAGAACACCTGCCGGGAATAACTCACAGAATTGACTACAGGATGAAAATCAACTGAACGCCGTCAGGAGAAACACCCCACCAAACTCATTGAGAAACAACATTGGCAACAGTGAAGTCCCCCGCGCGCCTGCTAACAAAGTCCATCCGATAACACAATGCACACCGCAAGCACGCGCGCGAAGTCAAAGTCTGACGGCAGGAGCAACCAATCAGGCTGGCCTACACAACTTCACTCCTGTGGAATGGAGGTACAACATTGCAGCGGCTTTCCGTGCACAACTAGGTCTGCGGTACAACTTGGATCTTCAACTCTGGATCTTACCCGAATATTTCGCGCGGTCAACATAGCTCTGCGTTGCGAAAGGGCCACACGCTCTCGGCTTTCGTTCCTGCGCTACATCGCGGCACAAACGTAAATACAGTGCCGTTGTACATACCAAGACTTTGCATCATCTCCCCGAAGGGTACGTGAAGTTAGTCTGCCTTAGCTCTTTTCGACGGAGCCTGAGGCGGGGGCTTGGAAAGCGTGATGGCGAAGAGCACCAGGAGAAGCAGAAGAGACCCAACGAGTACCATGATCGTCATCTGAGACGGCATTTTTCCGTCCTTCACCCCTTCGAGATCCTTGAGCACGCTGGTAAGGAGTCCCTGTTATTCGTGCCACGGACGGTGTGTTTGGAGCGGGCGGAATAGGGCCCTTATGGACATCACATGAGGCTGGACAGGGTAGGTCTTACTGGTGCCGGGCCTGACGAGCGCATCGGAAAAATACAGCCACTTGTGATCACATTCCAAGCAAACAAAGGGAGCTGAAAATCACACGCCGCCGCATGTCGAAAACACAAAATATGAAATAATTCACCTAGGTACGTGAGATTCTCCACCCCGTCGCTTGCAAGCAGAGGAGGGTCCAACAGTCAAGCCAAAAGATGGGAGGGAGGGTCTCATCCAAGCCGAAATGTGAATTTCCGCCCATGGTTGACGTCTCACATCCGGTCAAGGATTTCCGGCCAATCAGAAATCAGCGGGACCGGTGTTGAACAACTGGAAATCGGACGGCATTTATTTTCTCTTCGCGAGCTGCTTGTAGGATTGCTGAGTTCCCTAATTCTTGTGCCATCCGCTGTTCGCGCAAAACACTCTGGAGTTCAGGGGTCATCACACAGACCACTCAAACTCACAACTTCACTTTACAGCCAAACAAGAACCAGGTAACCGTGCGCCCTCCCCGGAAAATCGTGCGAGTGAATACATTGAAATAGTATCAGTTGAAATTATTTGAACATCTGTGTACCCTCCACGGATAAACGTGCGAGTGAATACATTGAAATAATATTAACGGGGACGTGTAAACATCCCGCCCATCACCTTCAAGCCACCAGCCAGGGAAGGGGGGGCGGGCACCGGCACGGAGTCCGTCTTCTTGAATCCTCCCTGCTCTCGAAACACCAAAAAGCAAGCGCGAGACCCGATAAACCACAACAAGGGTTAGGGTGAGCGGGTCGGGAGCGGGTGACGGGAGGCGTTAAACGAAAAATAACATGATATGGGAGACCCCGAGAGCTGATGTAGCGTAGTCAAAAGGATGCGGAATGGCAAATCCGCCTTTACCTCCATGAGACTCCCCGGCAACCGCGACAAGGAAGAGTCCCATCAGCGGCTCTTGTCGGCAGAAAGTAAACGACTCCAAGGCGCTCTCTTTCCGTGGTGGACATGCACACCGCCACGCAGAGGGGGGGCGCACCGAGCAACATACCATATCAAGAGGCACGCGCAAGACTTGCAGAGGAGAGTCCGGCATCAGACAAAAAAATGGCCATCAGTCACAATCTGGTGCAAAAGTTAAGCCATGGAGGCCCCCCCGCCCTCTCGTCCGAGCTCTGACCTTGGCAAATTCGATGAAGGAATCGAGCTTGCGAGGGCCAGCGAACTTGTGGAGGTTTCCATGCGAGAAGAACAGCAGCGTCGGGAAGCCCTGCGCGGATGGCGTGTGGAGAGTCACGGGTCAAGCAATGCGGGTTATACATTTGAACGTCGAGGCGAACCATTCGTCGAGTTTTCGCGGTGCCGCGAACGAAGGGAACCAAAAAATACTGAGGTGTAGTGCCCGTATGTACCCGTCAGGTTAACTGGAATTATACCGAGCACCCGGCTCCATACAGAGAAGGTGGCAACTTGTCATTCCAGCCGTACCACGCACTTTCACCGGCACTATACCGGGCAGCGGCACTGTTGAGGGATACTGTGCGGGGATAACTTCAATGAAGTAACATGCAGCATGGTGGAGGTGGGTGGTGGACATTCACCCGTAAGAAATTCGAGTAGAGTTCCTGCA